GTAACACAGCGACCTGCGGAGGAGTGATACGTAACGCCACCATTGGACGCATCGTGGCCCCCGACGTCACCGCAATCCACAGCAACAACCTGAGCTGCCATTGGCTGATTGAGGCATCCGAGGGTCAGCGGCTGCACCTGCACTTCGAGAGGGTCTCTTTGGATGAGGACAATGACAGGTCAGTCCCTTTTAAATTTTCTTGGGTCCCCTGCCACACCCTGCCCCCTGCCATGCAATATTGCCTGCTATGTGCTGACAGCACAGAGCCGCGCCGCAGCTGGGAGAGATCCCGACAATATTGTCAGGATCCACCACGCTACCTGATTGATAGCTGGCTCGGCCTCTCTAGATCCAGCTGAGCCCGCCCCCATCCCCGGTGCTGAAGAGGCAGCCGGTGCAGACGCAGCATTAGCACTGGTTTATAGGTTACAGGGCCCCACATCAATGACTGTGCCCCGGGGCAGCTGCCCCTTTTGCCCCGCCTTAAAGACAGCCTACGGCCTGCTGAGCGACGCCCAATCTCTCTACATCGAGCTGGTCTCGGAGAACCCAACGGCGCCTCTTCTGCTCAGCCTGCGCTATGAAGGTACGACCCCCCTTTCCTAAACCTTTCTGAAGTGAAGGCGGACCCGTCAGATGCTGTCCTCTCATATCAGGCAGCGGGGAATAGCTCAGATTTAAAGCTGAACTCTGGGCAGATATAACGTGCAGCTCGGTAACCAGTAAATGTGACTTTGTGTTGTAAAAACCTGATATTGAACTTCTTGCAGTCCCTGCGCAGCAGAACTCAGACTGGGGGGAGGAAGAATAAGCACGTGGAGTCAATCAGTTGCTCTGCAGTGCAAGGAGCGTGCTGAGAATAGTAGAGAGCAGAGTGACAGAGAGATGAAAAATGAAGTCACCTGTGGCAGAACTATGTAAATCTCAGAACTGGATGGACACAAGAGAGGGGCGGCGGGTCCCAATGGGGCCACACACTGGTCCTGCTGACTCGACCTACATTCGACCAGTGTATGGCCAGCTTTATTGTTTAATATATGGATATCTTGTAAGTAGACTGCCTTGTTGGTTAAACATTGACTTCACAATCTCAGTTCATATTTATTCGGTCACTTGGGGGTGAGCGCCGGCCGCCGGCATACGACGCTATACAAAGCCTGAGATGATGTCATACCTGAGCTCATTCTAAACCTCCCTACTAAAAATGTGTCTATGCCTGAGTCCTCCCTGGAGAGATTTCCCACAGAAACCTCACCTTGAACTGCTCAGCTGTTTGGTATGAGGTTCAGGCATGGTACAGATCGTCCAAAAATGTCACCAACATAAGCATGTGATGAGATGATACAGAAGAAGAAGTCACCAGCCCGTGGCAACCATCAGCAGATGAGAGAGACAGGCAGCTGAATTATTATGCAAATCTCAAACATTAAAGTCAGGCTTGACCTCACCCGTCACCACCCATTGGTCAGGGAGACTGCCCTTCACATTAGAGGAGCAAGAGAAAGGTGGGAGAGGGGGGGGGTTAAAGGAGAACTATGAGGCGAGTGATTTCCTCTCATCCTCATAGTTCTAGCCGACCTGTGACAATGAGACTGTCACAGGTCGGCTCAGTAGATCGGGAAGTGAGAGAACACATACCGGCGTTCGCTCAATTCTTGATCATCTCCCTGCAGAGAGCGGTGACTGTCACTCCCGGCTCCCTGCAGGGATTCCCCCCCCCGTCCCCGCTCCGATCCTCCAGCGCTGACTGGCGGAACGGACGGGGGAGGGTACAGCTGACTCTAGGGCTGCCACCTTTTCTTCAAGCGAAACCCTAACACTCTAGCGACGAGCGGACATTTTTTGGGGTAGAATTAGTCGTGGCTTATTCATATATAAATAGCGCCACCCATTCAAATGTAAATATCACAGTTGAGACTATTTTCAGTGGGGGGGGCAGTAGCCCCTATCTTAATTATGGTTGCCCCTGTCTGCCTGACATCTTGTGTCCGGGTTACTGTTGCCATGAAACCCGGACACAGCATTCAAAACCTGGACTGTCCGGGTGAATCCTGGACAGGTGGCAACCCTAGCTGGCTCTGCCTCTAGATAGGCAGAGCCAGCTGTCAACCACGCAGCTGGGTGGATCTCGACAGTAATGCGGCGGCGGTCTCAGTATACCGCAAGCTGTAGCTCGCGATATACTGAGCTTTGGGTCACGGGAGGACGCTAGTTTGTGTCCTCCCGTGACCCTGAGAACTATGGAGAAAAACACTGACCCCCATAGTTCTCCTTTAAATGTTACTTTTGGTTGAAATGACCCTTCAGTCTGAGTTTGCATTGATAATCAGGTTCAGCACCATCGGCTCTGGACAGCTCCCCGGTCCAGATCTTACAGTAGATGTGAACTCCACCTGGATGATATTTAGGGTCCGTTGTCGGGTTTTTGTTCACATTAGATGGATTTTGCATTTCCCGTTCAAGTCTATGGGAGGGCAAAACCCGCTTAAAGGAGAACTTTTCCCCATAGTTCTCCTTAGGGTAACGGGAGGACACAAACTAGCGTCCTCCCGTCACCCAAAGCTCAGTATATAGGGAGCTGCAGGTCATTGTATACCGAGACGCCGCACCTGGAGCGGATCCTGACAATTATGTCTGGATCCACCCAGCTGCATGAGTGACAGCTGGCTCTGCCTATCTAAAGGAAGAGCCAGCTGTACCCGCCCCATCCCCCGTCCGTTCTGCCAGTCAGCGCTGGCAGATCGGAGCGGGGAGAGGGAAATCCAGCCCCTCCCCTGTCACGGCAGAGAGCCGTGACAGGATCGAGAGGTGAGCGAACGCCGGTATGTGTTCGCTCACCTCCCGATCTACTGAGCCGACCTGTGACAGTCTCATTGTCCCAGGTCGGCTAGAACTATGAGGTGAGTGAAAAGCACCCCCCCCTCCCCCCCCATAGTTCTCCTTTAGGGTCCAGTGCAGGTCAACAGCAGGTCCAATGCACCTGTCAATGGAATGTGAATGACCTCAGAAACATCATAAACTGATGCCATCAACACAAGCCTTTTATCTACTTCAAGGTGGAGACACTTTGGGGGAGCTCAAAGGTGACAAAAGAGCCCCAGAGCTGAACCTGCATGAGGTGTAAAAAGCCAAAGAAACCCGGCTCAGGCCTCATCTATAACGCAATTGTTGTTTGGTGGATCAACTGTTTACCCCCCTTCACTAAAAATCACATCAGTACATTCAGCTCTGCATGCTGATAGGAAATCATCTTACATTCATTAGGTAAACAAACATATTTTTGTTTCACATACAAGTACTGTTTATCTACTTCCTGGTCCTCTTTGGCACAAATGATGTCATCGTGCCCAAGCGTTGCATCCTGGGAAGGTGACATCAGCAGAGCATTGCTGGCATATCTCATCTGTCATCTCACGAGATCTCAAGGAAAGGCATTTTTCTCCCCTGAGAGGATGTGCATGGTCACATGTCCTGGTCACATGTGCCAGAGTTCCAGAAAGTAAAGGGAGATGGATTCATCTGCCCTTAGTAAAAATGGCCGCCGTGAGAAGAATGGGGGAGGAAAGGAAAAACAAGGTATGCAAGGAATAAAAAGCCGGGAATGATCTAGAAGTATCTGATTGTAGATTGTCATTGCGAAACATTTCTAATGGTGTCTTTGTTGCCGTTTCAAAGATAAGAGAAAAGTTCCTCATTATTATCACCGCCATCTCTCTCACTTGTCTTCTTATCTCTCTCTTGGTTAGTATTTTCTGAGACGCGGTGTTATGAGCCCTTCTTGGCCCACGGGAATTTCAGCACCACGGACCCCCTCTTCTCTGTGGGGACTCTGGTGTCCTTCTCCTGTAATGCGGGGTACATGCTCGAACAAGGACCACCAGTCATAGAATGCGTGGACCCCGCTGATCCCCACTGGAACGAGAGTGAACCGGTCTGCAAAGGTAAGAGACACCCGCTACAGATCTGGGGTGTGATTATCTGCAAAGTCTACACCGCCTGCACTAGGACGGCGAGGCTCGTCACATGGTTCCCAGCACCTGGTATAATTCCATGTCTTTATGGAGCCAGCTTTTCAGGGGCATAACTTATAATCATGGGGCCCCATAGCAAAACTTTGGGGCTACCCGGCTTACTTTCTCTATAGAGGCTGGCAGATCCTGAGTTCTCCCTACAGCCCTCCTATACTGGAAACCTCACAGTTTAGTTTTCCTAGTCCTCTCCATTATTGGGGTCCCCTCCTACCCCCAGGCCCTATAGAAGCTGCATTGGCTGCTATGGCTTTTATCACACCACTGTGGCTTTGTATACAGGGGGATAGTCACGGTGGAACATAAAAGGACCTTCACCAAACTGTTACCACAAGGCTGGAAGCTCACCACTGTCTACAATGTCTTTGTATGATGGAGTATTACCAGATCCCTTCACTGGAAACACCTGAACCCAATCATTGGGAGGCTGTGAAGGTCAGGTGTCCACATATGTTTGGCCATATGGTGTTATATACATAGAAATGTAAATAGTAACATCGAATTCTCTATGTACATAACGGATTTATCTTAGCAGTCCTTGAAGGGGGATACGGAGCACTTTACCAGCAATATGGATGGCCAATGAAGGGGGTACCTACAAATGGGAAGTCCATCAAAGGGTGAACCAACGAGCACACAAAGATGTAATATTAACACCAAAAATAATGTAACAATGTTGACTCTTTATGAGCAAAGTATAATTTCCCTTCAATGATCTCTGACACCTTTGGCGAGCCAGTTGGCATTCACGATGGGCCGGCCACCACTGCCCGCCGCCAACCCGGGTTTACATAGCGCACTCTTCTGTTCCTGAGATGTTGTCTCCGCACAGAGCTTCGGGGGGGGGAGGGAGGCGTTCAGTTTTATATTTGTGTTTCTCAACAATTTCTAGTTGCCATGGTAACTAATGTAGGGCTCCGAATTAACTCCTTCTCGCCCCGGAAAGAAGAAAAGTCAGCGTAAGATTCACCCAGCCTGATACTGGCAGGGCAGGAGGTGAGCGGGGATACCCCGGAGTTAAGTCCATGGCCCGCGTTAAACTCATCACATCCATTGAGCTGACGGCGGGAGTAGGGGGTCACGTTTGGGGATTAGATCACATTAGGAAACGCTTTTAGAGGTATTTACCGCTGAGATTTCTAAAAATACCTCCGATAGCTGGTCAGGCCGTGTTTGGAGGGATCGGGTCCCTTGTCACACTTCTTGAGCATGCAATGTTGACATGGGGAGCACCAAGGTTTACAGGCCCATCACGGGCTCCCAGAGTTTACCCCCCAATCTCAAGGTCACCGGGTCATTGACCTTTGATAGGAGCCAGTGACCGCGATCACCCAGACAGGAAGTGTCTGCATGGCAGGTCTGCAGATCTGGGATTCCTTTCATAGAAACTAAACGAAACGCCAAGAACAGAAGATGTGATGGAATGTTCTAGGTGCGGTCCAGACGGCAAAGCATTTCCTCACCGAGTCACTGCGGGGAGCACTGCTATACACAACCATAGGAGGCGCCCCATATTGTGAGGAATGTCAGGGTGTGCTCCATCAATCGTCACTGTACAGACTGCAATGTGTAATGTACTCTCAGTCTAATGCAGGGTGCAGTCTACAGCGCAATATACACTCCATAGACAACAATGCATATTGTGTGATGTACGGTCCATGATTCACAGTCTAGGATGCATTGTCTGTAGTGCACAGTCTATAAGGCTCAGTCTAGGATGTACAGTCTATAAGGCTCAGTCTAGGATGTACAGTCTATAAGGCTCAGTCTAGGATGTACAGTCTATAAGGCTCAGTCTAGGATGTACAGTCTATAAGGCTCAGTCTAGGATGCATTGTCTATAAGGCTCAGCCTAGGATGTACAGTCTATAAAGCACAGTCTAGGATGTACAGTCTATAAGGCTCAGTCTAGGATGTACAGTCTATAAGGCTCAGTCTAGGATGTACAGTCTATAAGGCTCAGTCTAGGATGTACAGTCTATAAGGCTCAGTCTAGGATGTACAGTCTATAAGGCTCAGTCTAGGATGTACAGTCTATAAGGCTCAGTCTAGGATGTACAGTCTATAAGGCTCAGTCTAGGATGTACAGTCTATAAGGCTCAGTCTAGGATGTACAGTCTATAAGGCTCAGTCTAGGATGTACAGTCTATAAGGCTCAGTCTAGGATGTACAGTCTATAAGGCTCAGTCTAGGATGTACAGTCTATAAGGCTCAGTCTAGGATGTACAGTCTATAAGGCTCAGTCTAGGATGTACAGTCTATAAGGCTCAGTCTAGGATGTACAGTCTATAAGGCTCAGTCTAGGATGTACAGTCTATAAGGCTCAGTCTAGGATGTACAGTCTATAAGGCTCAGTCTAGGATGTACAGTCTATAAGGCTCAGTCTAGGATGTACAGTCTATAAGGCTCAGTCTAGGATGTACAGTCTATAAGGCTCAGTCTAGGATGTACAGTCTATAAGGCTCAGTCTAGGATGTACAGTCTATAAGGCTCAGTCTAGGATGTACAGTCTATAAGGCTCAGTCTAGGATGTACAGTCTATAAGGCTCAGTCTAGGATGTACAGTCTATAAGGCTCAGTCTAGGATGTACAGTCTATAAGGCTCAGTCTAGGATGTACAGTCTATAAGGCTCAGTCTAGGATGTACAGTCTATAAGGCTCAGTCTAGGATGTACAGTCTATAAGGCTCAGTCTAGGATGTACAGTCTATAAGGCTCAGTCTAGGATGTACAGTCTATAAGGCTCAGTCTAGGATGTACAGTCTATAAGGCTCAGTCTAGGATGTACAGTCTATAAGGCTCAGTCTAGGATGTACAGTCTATAAGGCTCAGTCTAGGATGTACAGTCTATAAGGCTCAGTCTAGGATGTACAGTCTATAAGGCTCAGTCTAGGATGTACAGTCTATAAGGCTCAGTCTAGGATGTACAGTCTATAAGGCTCAGTCTAGGATGTACAGTCTATAAGGCTCAGTCTAGGATGTACAGTCTATAAGGCTCAGTCTAGGATGTACAGTCTATAAGGCTCAGTCTAGGATGTACAGTCTATAAGGCTCAGTCTAGGATGTACAGTCTATAAGGCTCAGTCTAGGATGCATTGTCTATAAGGCTCAGTCTAGGATGTACAGTCTATAACGCACAGTCTAGGATGCATTGTCTGTAATGCACAGTCTTCACCACCCAGAGAGTCACTGACCGGAGTACCTGTGTTGAGGGCTTCTGTTTGCATGAGATGGGTTTTGCTTTCCAATAGAAGTCTACGGGAATTAAAAACCCACTTGAAGGAGATCAAATGCAAGTCAGAAGGAGGTCCACTGCAGGTCAGATGCCCAGCTCAATGAATTCTGAATGATCTCAGAAGAACCTCAAACTGATCATAAGCTGGCGTCATCAACACGAACCCAAAAACCCGTCAACACGGTTCCTTCAATAAGCATGTGCCCAGTGATCTGCCATTTCACAGAAGTGTGTGGCCCCTTGATACTGTCCTCCCTGTAACGGTGAAGGTGACCGGTAACCCCATCCGTGTTCTGACCACCATGCTTTCTGTTTCCCATGTCGCAGCTCTGTGCGGGGGGGAAATCTCCGAGCCGGCTGGGGTGATCCTTTCTCCGGATTGGCCGCAGAATTACGCCAAGGGCCAGGACTGCGTGTGGGGGATCCACGTCCAGGAGGATCGCCGGGTGCTGCTGGAGATAGAAATGTGAGCGCTGTATTTTTTGTTTTACGCACCAACAGTGTTCTGCACCAGAGTACAAAGGACCAACCACATGAATCTGCGCTCTACCAGGGAGCTCATTGTCTAATGTCTCTATGATGTACTCAGGGCCGGATTTCCCACAAGGCCAACCAAGGCCTGGCCTCGGGGCAGCAGGGAGTAGAGGGGCAGCAGGGGTGTGGAATTCCTATCTCCCGATGCCCGGGGCATGCATTTCCGGGTGCCGGGCGGGTAGTTGTTTTCTACATTTAGCCCTGCTTTGGGCAAGCAGAGCTGAATGTACAGCGGGGAAGCCGCCGCTTGTCGCCGAGATCACTTGTATGCAACCTGCAGGTCTGCCATTCTCCATGGGGGGGGGTTTGGCAGGTAGGGGGGCGCATTTAGGAACCTGGCCTTGGGGCAGCAGGGAGAGCAGTGGCGTAACAATCACCGGCCGCTATGGGGCCCGGGCACAGGGGGGCCCGGCCAGGGCTTCCCTCTGATGCCGTGCGGGCCGCCTGGGCCGCTATGGCATGTAAGGGTGCTGGCTGTCACTGACACAGCTCAGCAGCGGCTGTGAAGATCACTGTGTCAGTGACAGCCAGCAGCTGCGGCAGAAGAGGCCGGCGTTCGCAGCGAAGGAGGAGGCGTGGCCCGCCTAAGAGCAACCCCGCCTCCTCTTACATCACTGGCCAGCGACCTAAGAGCAGGCGGGGCCCGTCGATAGAAGAGGAGGCGGGGCCCGGCGACCACGGAGGCGGACAGCGCTGACAGGTAAGCGGTGTGCAGCCCATCTGAGACCCTGCAGAGCCCACTATAGAGAGTCTATGGCGGGCTCTGCAAGGTCACTCTCAGGTGGGCTGTTTGGTATATCAGGTGGGCTCTGCAAGTGGCATAACTAGCAATCACGAGGGCCCCGTACAAAATTTTGCTATGGGGCCCTGTGATTTCTAGTTACGCCCCCTGAGGGAGAGTAAATCCGGCCCTGCATATACCGTAGCGCTGCAGTGATGATGTTTTTGGATTGTGAGGGGAAAACCTGCGCAAAGACATATACAACACGCGATGTATGACCCAAACGCATGTTCATCCAGTAGACCATCACAGACCTATTGATTCCTTACAGCCTGAACATCCGACGGAGCGACGCCCTGACCGTATACGATGGCGATGACCTCACAGCGCGGGTCTTGGGACAGTACATGGGGGTCCATCAACGCTTCAACCTCTTCTCCTCTGCCAACGACGTGACCATCCAGTTCCAGTCCGACCCCAACGACCCGGTGTTCAGCCTGAGCCAAGGCTTCATCATCCACTTCAAAGGTAACGGCCTCTCCGCCGCCGGCAATGGGCATGGACTCTCTGCACTCTCTTAGACACCCATGACGCTCCGGGTCACCGCTGACCATGTGATCATAGCCTAGGCCAGGGGTAGCCAAACCATGGTAGAACTACAAAAACCCATCATGCATCTGCCTCTGGCTGCGGCCGTCAAAGTCTTGCAATGCCTCATGGGACTTGTAGTTGCACAACAGCTGGGGGGGCTGGAGTTTGGCTACCCCTGCTTTCGGTGATAGGAGGGAGATGGAAAACAGATTATTTTGTATTTATGGCAAGAAAAAAAGACTTTTCAACTCAAAACAATATTGTGATTAGACAGTGTCGGTCTAGTGATTCATAAAAAGTGATTTTTTTAATGGCAGGTTCACTTTAAAAGTGACATTTGGCAGTATTTTGTCTAAAGGGGCGACTGGACAAAAAGTCAGATGTGTAACTTGAAAATATCTCCCCCGACATACAACCTTTGCTTTAAAAAAACTCAATTGGATCTTCTGCTGTCCCGGTATATCCGTATGGGTTGTGTCAGTTAGAGAGAGACAGTCAGAAAGCGAGCAGACGCTGCTGGGTTTTCTTATTGCAAAAGCCCAGCATTGCCTGCAAACACAGTGCCATGGAAGCAACCTGAAGGTTTATTAGCAAAAGGAAGATTGTCAGCAAATAGTACTAATGAAGATATCTGAGATCAGTTTCTTGTTCTTCTTCCTCTAGAGGTGCCCCGGAACGACACCTGCTCCGCACTGCCTGACATCCAGTCCGGCTGGAAGACGTCGTCGCACCCGGATCTCATCCGCGGCACGGTCGTCACCTATCAGTGTGAACCCGGGTATGACATCATCGGCTCGGACATTCTGACCTGCCAATGGGATTTGTCCTGGAGCAATGCCCCTCCCACCTGCGAGAAGAGTGAGTGAACCTGGCTGAAATTATTTATTACAATGCGATACAATATGTTGTACATGACATTCACAGCATCATCAGGCCACTGGTCGCTGTTTCTGTCTCTAGTTTGAGATGTTATACATGACATTCACATGATAAGGCCACTGATCCCTGTTTCTGTCTCTAGTTCTGGGATGTTATACATGACATTCACACCATCAGGTCACTGATCCCTGTTTCTGTCTCTAGTTCTAAACTGCGCGGACCCCGGGGAGATCGCCAACGGCATGCGCAGGGCCATCGATCCGCGGTTTCCTATCGGCTCTCATGTCCATTATTCCTGCAACGAGGGCTACACCCTGGAGGGCAGCGAGACGCTCACTTGTTACAACAGAGATACCGGGACCCCCAAATGGAGCGACCGCATCCCCAAATGTGTCTGTGAGTAATACCCCCATCATCCGTCATCAGCTCCCATGGCTGCCATGATATAAATGATTGGAATGCATGATGGCGATATAAAGATCTGTATTAAGTGAAGACGCCGGGGATGTGATGGTGACTCTTCGGCGGGGTGGCGAGTTGAACCTCATTGTACTTTCTTATGTCTCTCGGAGACTTCAGGTGTAAGGTATCTCCATCGGAAAACCCAACTCCACCCAGGTACCACAGCCAGCATGGTGCCAGGCAATGATGTCACACTCCCCGATGGGTTCCCAATCAGTACACCATTGGGGAACGTTTTGTTTCTGAGGCATACACAAAAATGGCCGATGACCCCCCCACAACTGAAATATTAGACGTGGCCCGTTCCTATATGAATAGTCATGAATGGAAGCGTCCAATCCTTCCGTCAAGGAAGAGCTTCAGCACATAGATGGGAAGAGTTCCTAGTTGGCAGAGTTTAAGTACACCCGTCATGAGAGAATATGAGAGAATATGAAGGCTGCCATTGCTGAACGCTTGTGAACATGCTTGTTTCCTGTCTGTCATGTGGATCCTCTGTCTTCGGTACATTAAAGAGGCCCTGTCACTTAGCCCTTAGGGCAGGGGTGCCCACAATTTTTTGTGTTGAGATCTACTTTTCAAATGACGCGCTACATGAGATCTACCAACGAAAAAAACCTCCCTCGCTCTTTCTCTCCTGGCTGTCTCTCCTCACTCTCCTGGCTGTCTCTCCTCGCTCTCTCTCTCTCTCCTGGCTGTCTCTCCTCACTCTCCTGGCCATCTCTCCTTGCTCATCCTCTTGGCTGTCTCTCCTCGCTCTCCTGTCTGTCTCTTCCCCACTCTCCTGGCCGTCTCTCCTCACTCTCCTTTCTCTCTCTCCTTGCTCATCCTCCTGGCTGTCTCTCCTCACTCTCCTGGCTGTCTTTCCTTGTTTTCTCTCTTGGCTGTCTCTCCTCTCTCTCCTGGCTGTCTCTCCTCGCTCTCCTGGCTGTCTCTCCTCGCTCTCCTGGCTGTCTCTCCTCGCTCTCCTGGCTGTCTCTCCTCGCTCTCCTGGCTGTCTCTCCTCGCTCTCCTGGCTGTCTCTCCTCGCTCTCCTGGCTGTCTCTCCTCGCTCTCCTGGCTGTCTCTCCTCGCTCTCCTGGCTGTCTCTCCTCGCTCTCCTGGCTGTCTCTCCTCTCCTGGCTGTCTTTCCTGGCTGTCTCTCTTTGCTGTCTCTCTTTGCTCTCTCCCCTGGCTGTCTCTCCCCGCTCTCTCTCTCCTGGCTCACCTTCCTGTATAGTACACTAATATTCTTTGATGTAATACATAGCACTACAACCCCCAGTATCCTCCAGAAAGGTGTCGGGGAGCTCGGCTCAGCAGACTCGGGCTAATAGGTAATCATGTGTGCACAGCGAGATAAATATACCAACATGGAATAAAGGGGCCGCCATTCCCCCCCCCTTCCTGATCCACCAGCATCAGCTCTGAGAGCTACTCATAGATCACCATCTACCTTACGGGCACATATAGTAAAGTCAAAGCGCTGTGCACGGATCCTGGTGATTGAGTATTTATATGTATAAAATTACTAGGGGTGCTGCCCCACTTCAACCGGGGGGAACTGTAAAACTGGAATACAAAAAGGACAGAAGGGCGCCCAACCTAGTGCAGATTATTTTTTATTTTAAAAGACACAAAGGTAAAAATGCAATGGTACTCACAATGGTAGGTCATAAAACAGCTCGTGTGGATGATTTAAAAGAAACAGCAGTTTCAGGACTGCAATCTGCCTGTGTGCCACTGTAGTGTGGCGGCGTTGACGCGTTTCCGGGGTCACGCCCCCTTCCTCAGAACGTGCTGTTTCTTTTAAATCATCCACACGAGCTGTTTTATGACCTACCATTGTGAGTACCATTGCATTTTTACCTTTGTGTCTTTTAAAATAAAAAATAATCTGCACTAGGTTGGGCGCCCTTCTGTCCTTTTTGTACCTTACGGGCACCCCTGCCTTAGGGCCTCTTTAATGTGCCTCCTAAAAGCCCACCAGGCGACCAACTTGTATTCACCTTTGCCTCACTACCATGCCATTGTGTCGCCCATTGGAGACCTTGTGGGACTCCCAAAGCTTCTGGGAATGGGGAAGGTGGAGTGGGGATGAGACCTCTTCCCACAATGCAGTGCTCAGGCCTGAGCAGCCAATTGACATGCTGGAACACAGTCATGTGAGGAGGAGGAGACCACGGGAAGTCTACATGGGATATGAATTGCAGCTCAAATAGAACAGTGGAGGTTGGAGGCGGGGGG